GTATTAGTCCAACACTCTACACATTTTGTTTTATTTTTTGCAGGAGTAGTGCTTGGTTGTATCCTTCTGCATGAGACTGCTACGTACGTAGTTGAACAAACAATAATGCATATATTCATACAGTATACACATAATTCAGAATTTAAAACCATGAAAAGCTGCATTTCCAGGAATATAGATGCTGTGCCAGAGAAGCTTAACCGATTGATAGCCATATTATTCGCGCGTTTATGTGCACCTTTAAGTCTTCTTTTTCACGCATCGGGTAGTGGTTTTCTAAAGTTGGCCGGCACCAGTCCAAAGCTGGCCTGGTTGCTGTTCCGAAAGGAAGAGCGATCAGGGTAACCACACGTCAGTAGATTCAGATATCGTAACGCCTTTTTGTTGCTTCATTTCAACCAAGCACTCCAAAGCTGGCAGGCACCACATATCAGCATGGTATTAGTCTCCTAAAGCTGCTTAACTTGCCGATGACGCAGCTCGCATTCCACAACGCTTTTGTTGGATACATTTATAAACAGTTCGATCGGGATATATATAATGCGACATTTCTTGGCTTTTTTGCTTTTAGAGTGGCCAACATTCGGGATAAAACCATTTGATCAAACATTGCTTATTTGTTTGTCTGCTAGTGATAATACTCAAATTTACGGACTACGGATGCAGGAGATGATAAGAGCGGAGTATATGTGACTGGTCAAATACGCACTAGACAGAACACCGGTAGTTTTGTTACTGTACTTGTTTTCTCGGTGTGTTGATTGGTTTACCCCGAACCTTTTCAAATTCAATGATACTGTTTCGAGCTATTTTGTTCACTGCGATTGTGATAGCTGGCCAACTCGTGTCTTTTTAGTTGTACACTTTTCTGCGGTCACAACAAAAAAGATTTAGTAAAAATATACAGAATATATACAAATATGCACAACTATGATTGTCTGCGGTGATACTTTGTTCAACCAGAAGATTTAAGAATATAAGAATTACAAAAAAAAATGGCCATGCATAAGAGGAACTTGGTGAGCATGATGATCGAACCCTGGCTGGCCCAACATAGATGGTGCTAGCCAGTAAGCCCTAACTTTATTTTGGAATCACCAGGTATGACAAGTTTTGTCGAGCATTAGTATCACATCTTATGCTATGCATTCTCCCCCAGAATTGTTTGTTGTGGAGCTTCAAGTCAATTGTCACATCTGTCTATTTGTAGCCTTATCCTTGAAGCACTATCTTGGGCAAGATATTCTTGAGGAAACTTATAGTGAGACTGGATGCCAGGTATTTGAGTTAAATTTGGTTATCACAAAAAAGAAATTAAATTTTGAGCAGTCTATTTTAACATATTCTCTGGAGTCTGAATCGCCGGTCGCAACTCTCAGATGTATCTAAGCATAGGGAATTGAAACGCCGCAACTTTGATAGGACATTGTTATCCATGAAAACAAAGTCTCGCACTACCGTGTTCTTTATTTCTAGTACAGATGGTTGGCTTCTCTTGTTGTATTTAACCATGCCACCTGAAGATGGCACAAAAGGATAGCAATGTAGCCATAGAGAATTTTGTTTCAAGAACAATATTGGTACAGTACACGATTATTTTCTCTTTATTCAATGTTGTTGTTTCTTCCATCCTTTCATTCTAATGCTTAGACTTTTTCACACTCCCTTGACTCTCGACCCAGTCTTTGTTCTCCACGTCACTAAAAAATTCTAACGTGATACGATAAACGATATGCTGACACCATACTATCGTACATGTCGTACACTAAATTTGCTGTTATCACTGAGTCGTTTGCCTTTTGAGTTTTGTCAACATACAATTAGATGACTCCACCCTGGTACACAATTATGGTCAAAAGGAGCGAGGTTACCTTGCTAGCCAATCAAAAGTAGAAAGAGCAACGTACCAACTTATGTATGATTGGAATTATTTATATAAGTGGTCAGTCCAAACTGCTAGTGGCACATCAGCAACATAATCACAGCACTAGGAGAGTTAGTGGCGCCCAATACATATTTATGTTTGATGTTTTTGTGGCTTAAGATCAGTTTGCTTTTCATAAAAGTTGGCGATGAACTATGTTTGATGTTTTGTGGCTTAGTTGACACGGGGTACACTAAATGGTTGAAGTATATTTAATACTCCCTCCGTCCCATAATGTAAGACGTTTTTTGACACTAGTGTAGTGTTAAAAAAGCCAAGTCATTTTCCTGCAAAGGATATGGACGGGAAATGTGGAAAGTAAATTCGGCACTTAGTTCCCACTACACAACACATATTTTCTCTGTTCAATACTTTCCCGAGTTTACAAAAAATGTGAAAGAAAAAAGGTGATGCAAGTTAGCTAACTGTTCAACACAAAAAGAAATGAATAGTGTGCGAGTTATCTAACCAAAAAACATTCATTTTGGTACATGTCATGTGAGTCAAACATTTTGATTTGATTAATGTGTGTCAGTCCACACGGTATAGCATGACTTACTACATGCACACATTATTTCACAATAAAATCACTGTGCATACAACACCTTCGCGTCTGTTTTTCATACGATGCTATGGTCGCTGGTTGCAGCCCATGAAGCGATAGTGATGGATGGCAGTTGACATGTGCCGTACAGGAAATCGGATAGAAAGAGTCGTACGTGTAGGGGTGCTCATTCACAACTTTGTGCAAACTTGGAGATTTGTTTTTTGAATGATTAAATGTAGTGGCAACTAGTTGCGCAAAATCCACTCTAGAAAATGGAGCGACAGAGGGCAAACTTATGGCATACTAAAAGCCTCGCATATATTGTAGCTGAGGGGTCTGCATTATATTTACTCCCTTACCGTTGATGAGGAATAATCCAGAATGACTATGTACCTTTTGGTATATACAAGCATCATTCTAGTTCTACAGATGTTTGGAATATAGTTCAACCCATTGAATGCATATTCGCCTCTCCTTTCCCCAATGCTAGATGGGGGAAATTGCCTATAAAAACATGATGACAAGTACTAGTCTCAGCGATATATCCAAATAAGATGGGAGGGACTCCTGTCATCTTTCTCATTGGAAAGAGTGAAGAGAGAAATAGCCATGAGTAGTGAGGAGGAAACCAAGATGACTGCCTCTTTTCATCTTCCCACCTTGAAGAGGAGGAAGATTCTAGTATAAAAAGGGCAAAAAGGAGACTAGTATATATGGGGTGGCTAACGAACACAACTGGAAAACCACTACCCTAGTTCTTCAAAACCGAACAACCATGCATGTGATATGTCAAAAAAAATCTACTAAGTTACTAGTGGGTAACCCATAAGCATGCACTATCTCGTAACCATTTTTTTTACTATAATCCTGTACCAAAATTATAGTGAACTTGATGTTAGAATGGCCCAAACTACATTAGAAATGATATACATCCGTAGTTTGAGTAATACATTTAGTAAGATGATCTTTCACTGCACGCACACAATTTGTTACATGAAAATGGACGTAAGAAATTAATTTGTGACAGTTGTAAAAATTACTACGTTGCATATCTAGAGTAACAATATCACATCAGTTGCTTTTGTATGCTTTAAGGTATATATTATTTGCAGCGTGAAAAAGGAGAATCGGTAGTTCTATCGGCGTCTAGGTATCAAGTTAGTTGTTCCCCTCCGATACTCAAAACCGGTGCCTATCCAAACATCTGAGGTCCCCTCTACGATAATCGTCGCGCTGAAGCTTCATCATGATCTTTAGGCGTCCTACAAATGGGCAAGGCGTTGAGCGAGACCCCAAAAATCCTCCCCTTTTTGCCATGCCGCCTTGCCACTGCCCGTTGTTGATCCGAATCTCTATCCTGTTACTTGCATCTGACCGGATGACCCGGCACGTGGGAAATTAACCATTGGCATGCAACGATTGTGGTTCGATGGGCGAAGGAAAATCATGAATAATTTGCACGACTATTCTTGCGACAAAAATGTTCTTGCGTTTCAAATGATGTAGTATTCTCACAAGTGCATCTTACTTCCCAGCAAACAAAAGCATGCATTTGCCGTACGAGAGATGAGGGGGGTTCCGATAACAGAAACTCTTTCCGGCCGGTCAGAAAAGCTGGTCGAGACGATGATCGATAGCCCATGCCGCCTACGCCGGCCGGCGAGGCCGTACCGTACGTATCGCCGAGGCCATCCCAACGGTGGTACGTATGGTAGTTGCTTGCCGGGAAGGCACTGACGGATCGACGACGGCACCGCTGGGCCGCCATGTCCACTAGCTTGTGCGTTCGATCACGCAACGTAACGGTACCAACCAATACCCCGCCCGGAACCCCGGCCAGCCCGGCGCGGCGGCGTCCCGCACACGCATCCCGTCACGCGTTCCGGCTGCGCCCGGCGCATCGGTCCCTCAGCTCGCTGGGCACTCGACGATCGGAGCGTTCCCGGCGGCCAGCCTTGGACCACGGGCGTTCCGCTCCATTGTCGTCGGCAGGAGCATGTACCTCGTGCAACTTGCCGTTGGCTCGCCGCACGCATCGCCAGCCGGCCCGTAACGCCCGGCCATGTCGCGTTGCGCCCCGGCCCGGTCGTCACAGCGGCTGGTCGCTTTCCTGCTCTTGCAACGAAAAAAACTTCGATTCCTTTCTGTTTTCGCCTTTGCTTCCGCTGCATGCGCACACTGACCACACGCACACATAACTGCACGCACGGCACGAGCTGATTCCTTTTTCCATGTCAGCTGATTTATCTCTCTTTTTTTCAGAGGGAAAAGCTGATTTATTTCTTGAGAGACACATTTCACCGTTGTGGAGCACATCGCCACATCTGACGGACTGACTGACACGCCCTGCCCCCATTCGCCTTTCCATGTGACAGCTGCTGATCGGTTTCCCTATAAGTAGGGGCGAGCTGCCGCTTCTCCTTGTGCTCTCATCCCTCCTCTCACGCACAGTCCTCCGTCCGAGCACGTATATACCCTGAACGAGCGAACGATCGGTTGATCGACCTCTCGGGCAAGCATCCACTGTGTATGGAGGAGGGCGCGGCCGCGAGCATGACCGTGGGGGAGAAGCGGGTGGCCGTCGACGTTCCTGCAGGCGCTGCCGCGGCGGCGAACGGACACGGCCCAGAGGAGAAGGCGGCGGAGGATGTTCCGGCGCCGTCTGCATTGTCCGGCTGGCCCAGGACGACAGGGATGTATCTCTTCGTCATGAACATCAGGTTCGCCGTCCCATGCATCTCGTCGATTTCCTTTCACCTTGCGCCCAAGTACGTCTGTCTTAGGAGTGCTCGTGTTCCTCACGTCTGATGTGCTTAACTGTAACCTGTCGCAGGAGTGTCTTCAAGCTCGATGAGCTCGGGTCGGAGGTGCTGCGCATTGCGGTGCCGGCGTCGCTTGCTCTGGCCGCCGATCCCCTCGCCTCCTTGGTGGACACAGCATTCATCGGACGTCTAGGTAAATACATACGGCCATCAAATCAACCAATCTATCTGTTTATGTATGCAATGAAGAAGAAACCTCTATGCTCGCTGTTGCTGCACCATGTTCACTTGTAGCACCTCCCTCGCGGGCGTTCGCGTCTTGCGGAATTTCCGCGGGATAGATGGAGCTTCTCAATTAATTTTCACCATGGATAGAGCTTCTCAATTAATTTTCACCGGCAGTCCTAACTTTAGGTAGTCGTACAAGGGAATTTCCGGATATGTACCACCTTTGCTGTTTCTGTCAGTGGATAGTCCCTACTTCAGTTTCCGGTTTGTCAGTTTGGCAAAGTAACTGACTTCGGTCTACAGTATCGATCGCTTGATTTGGACATGTAACTGGCTCATTTGGCGCCAAAAAACCTTCCACGAAATGCGCGCCGGAGAATTTTTCACCTTTGCCGACGATTCCGCCCACCTTCTTCTTCTGTTTTTGCTAATGGTCATGGCTGATAAATTGCTCATTTCTTTCCTTTAATTCGGTTACATTGGTGTTTTTATATACTTATATAAAAGACCTAAAGTAACAGTATTGTTGGTTTTTATTTGTTCTTTTGTGCATCACAAAGGCTTCTGTTCCGAATATTCCTTTGCGTGCCACTAGCAATTTCTCGTCATACAATTGGTTAGCTAGGCACATGCTGAGTTCATTCTCTTCATTTTGTTACCTTGAAATAACCATTCGTTCGTTTCTTTTCTCGCCGAAAGGCGTCACCGCAGCCCCATTTTGATATTTTCCGTTTTGAGTATGTTCCCCATTTACACAGAAAAAATGTGTGGTTCTTTTGAAAGATACTCATTTTTTCTGTACTTTTAGTATGCCAGGTCCTTGGCTTTAGTTTTCCGTTGCTTGTCTAAGCAAGTCGCAAACGATAATTTTAGTCTTTCAGACATCTGTTCTCATAGTTATCTCACATTACTTTGTGCGTTGTAAGAGATAGGCTGCTGCTACTGCTCTGAGATTTAATGCAGTGAAATATGTTCACAATTTCTCAATGATCAGGTTCGGTGGAGATAGCAGCTGTTGGTGTTTCTATTGCCATATTTAACCAAGTCTCGAAAGTCTGTATCTACCCGCTCGTTAGCGTAACAACATCATTCGTCGCTGAAGAAGATGCCATCATTAGCAAATACATAGAAGAAAATAACAGCAAAGACCTTGAGAAAGCCGCTCATGTGCATTCAGATGCCTGCAATGTGCCCGCATCTGGTACCGATTTCTCGCAGTATACCTGGTTTCATATATTTTTAAACAGTAATTTGATTTGACCTCAGGACTGAAGCATTCTTCATGAATCCCTATGTGGAACTCCGTTTTACAGGTGGTGATACTCCAGTGTGCGCTAATTCTTGTATACCCACAGAGTGTGCTGATCCCTCCAATCAAGGGTGCAAGAGAAGGTACATACCTTCTGTGACATCGGCTCTAATCGTTGGCTCATTTCTCGGGCTAGTCCAGGCCGTGTTCCTCATCTTTTCGGCGAAAGTTGTGTTGGGCATCATGGGTGTGAAACATGTAGGTGTTATTACCATCTCTATATGTCCAAGTTTATTTTACTTCTGTAGTTTCTTGCTATCCATGATGCTAATTCATATCTTCATCTACATCACACTATTCCAGGACTCACCAATGCTAGAACCCGCGGTTCGATACCTAACGATCAGATCACTTGGCGCTCCTGCTGTTCTCCTGTCTTTGGCAATGCAGGGTGTTTTCCGAGGCTTCAAAGATACAAAGACACCGTTGTATGCTACCGGTAAGAATACCTGGTGATGATTTACATTCTTTCAGCTGGAATATGGATATCTGTTTCCAAGGAAAAATATTTGAAGCGTTACTAACATTTCCTTACAATTTCTTTTGCAGTGGTTGGAGATGCAACAAATATCATCCTAGACCCAATTTTGATGTTTGTTTGCCACATGGGTGTCACTGGTGCAGCAGTTGCTCATGTCATTTCCCAGTAGGTTTCACCGCTACCAGTAGCATCTAGAGCCTATGTGTTTCAGTCCGTCCTCACAACTCCCAATTCCATCTTTTTCTTCAGGTACCTGATAACCATGATCTTAATATGTCGGCTCGTCCAGCAAGTTGATGTTATCCCACCGAGCCTTAAATCCCTGAAATTTGGGCGGTTTCTTGGGTGTGGTGAGATACAGTTGGAACCCTGGAACTGGATAACATCTCGCACTGGTCCCCTGGAAATGGCTCTGAAAGTGCTCTGTTTTCTTCAGGATTCCTGCTGCTCGCGAGGGTGGTAGCAGTGACTTTCTGCGTCACTCTGGCGTCGTCGCTGGCTGCCCGCGACGGACCAACCATCATGGCGGCCTTCCAGATCTGCTGCCAGCTCTGGCTCGCGACGTCACTTCTCGCCGATGGATTGGCCGTTGCTGGACAGGTCAGATTGCCATGTCATACTCCCATAGATTAATTAGTCCATGAGAAACAGCTTCAGTAGAGACTAGAGAGTGTACTGAACTGGGGCGTGTTGTGGATGAGTTCTTGCAGGCAGTGCTCGCAAGCGCGTTCGCCAAGAACGATCACAAGAAGGTGATTGCCGCGACCTCTCGTGTTCTGCAGGTTTGTCACCGTTGATTCTTGCCACTTCTCCCTTTTTTACCCCCTAGAACACGCAAAAGGTTCGTATTTTGGTTCACTGAGAAGAGGCTAATGACGATGTCCTTCACCTTGCAGCTGAGCATCGTTCTGGGGATGGGTCTCACGGTGGTGCTCGGTCTCTTCATGAAGTTCGGCGCCGGCGTTTTCACAAAGGACGCCACTGTGATCGACGTCATCCACAAAGGCATCCCGGTAAGAGCCTTGGCTGTTCAAAACACGAGAACTCCATACGAGAGATGACTATTTCCCAGGACTCAGACACTGAATATAGCTCTGTTTGGGGATGTTCAGTTCGTCGCCGGCACGCAGACGATAAACGCCCTGGCGTTCGTGTTCGACGGCATCAACTTCGGAGCACAAGACTACACCTACTCTGCATACTCCATGGTACCGTAGATCCTTCCGTAGCAGCATCAAATATTTTAGCTCTGAAACTTGTCCCGAGACTGAAATTGGATCCCATGGAAACCTTCAGGTTGGGGTGGCGTCCATATCCATACCGTGCCTGGTGTACCTCTCTGCGCACAAGGGATTCATCGGCATATGGGTCGCATTGACCATCTACATGAGCCTCAGGACCGTAGCCAGCACCTGGAGGTATGAATGATACTATGCTCCACCCTACCCCCCCCCCTCCTCATCACCTCATCAGTACCTCCATTTCTTCGGTATCCCCGACCCTTTTCTAGTGCCGTTTACAGGAGTAATGTTTTCAAATCCTGCTGAAATTGAACTGTTCTTCTTGAAATCCTTGCAAAATATGTGTTCATAATCTTCAATTAGGGCTCATCAAGGTTTTGTGACTGGTGTCTGCAGGATGGGGGCAGCGAGAGGACCATGGGCTTTCCTCCGGAAGTGATGGATCGGCTCGCAAGATTGATGGCGGTTTGTCTACAGTGCATAGCTGGTAGATAGCCATACACATATGCTCGTTCCATGTAATTAGAATAAGTGTAGTATTGTGTTGCTGTTCTAAGCTTGGGGTATTGGAGTTAGATGGGGCTTTATTGCTTTGCTTCGCGGCCGTCTGCCTTTTGTTGGGGGAGAGAGAGGCTACTCTGATCTTGTGATCCATGTCCTTGTTCTGTGCCGGAGATGGCGATTTAATTGGACCAGTGCTCTGTAAAAATCATACTACATTGATACGTTGGTCTATCCCTAGTTATGTCATTTTCCCTCTCTTAATCCTTGTATATCGAATGTACCCGAGACCATTCTTCTTGCAGAAGATGAGGTTTTGTTTCCGAGCTGAGAAATAAAATTGTCTTAACGGAAAAAAAAAATTGTCTTAACGGAAAAAAAAAATTGTCAAACAAACCTCCAAGCTGAAAATGAGTATTATCTATGTCCAGGTTTATTGGTCCCCTTCGTATTTTGTGTCAAATTTTGATTAGAGATTTAACTAACAAAATATTGATGTATGTCATCAAAAATTATATCGTATTATATTGATCAATATTTTGTTAGTTAAATTTAAAGTCAAAATTTAGCACAAAATACGAAGGGGGCTAATAAACCAGGACGGAGGTACTACTACAGTAGTACTCCCTCCGTGCCAAAATAAGCGTCCCAACTTTGTACATGTGCCACTTTCAAGGCATTCTACCCTTTTAGGTCGGAACAGAGGCTGGGAGCTGGATGCATTGCCTACCGCCATTTCCTACTTCAGCCAGTGAATGTAAACGTTATAATACTAACTAGCCCCAGGACTGAAAGCAGTTATAACTGGATACTACACTTTGGTCTGCCTGCCACAACTCACAACTGCAGTTGCACTTTGGTCTGCCTGCCACAACTCACAACTGCAGTTGCAGGACCAGTTGATGGCTGCCATAACTAACTCAAGCTCTTAAAGTGTGTGCATTCTGTCTGAAATGGTATTATTTGTTACCTTTGTGCTTGGAGGATAGTGTGTGGGCTATGTTGCCTATAAAAGATTTTCATGGACAGAGAAGCTGATGGGATTACAATCTTAGGCACAGAACTATCCAAGATTACACACACACAAAAAAAACTACTAAATTGCAATGTTGCAAGAACTTCATATCGCATACATCATACGTGGCACACCAATTTCAGTATAAGTGCTACAGGTATACATCAGCAATTTATGTCACGACTTATGTCAAAATTGGGAGTACAAACAGCATGCGTACCAGGTACATGCAGAAATTTTGAGTCCACTGAAAGTCTGAAACAATGGAATTTGGGTGTCCACAGATAACATTTACGAGTCTGAAACTACGCTTCTAGCATTGCCTGAGTTTATAGCCTGACAGCGAACAACGGAGACATCAGGCTCCAGATGTGAATGGGCTGCATATCATGCGATCCTTATCGTCCAATCATCTACAACACGAACATTGGGCCTCCTGACTGTTGGCACAACAGACTTTGAACCACTCCTTAAACTAATCGGTCCCAGATCAATTTCCACTTCTTGGTTCCCAGGTTCAATGATAGCCTTCTTTGCTCCCGATGATAACCCAAGCACTATAATTCTTTCAATCACACACTCAGTTGAATATACCTTCTTCCCCAGACTATCAGGCGCAATATTGATCGAAGTTAGTTTATTGTCCGCAAATACAAAACGCCGATGGATGAATGCCCCTTGCTGATAATCATAACTTTTCCCATCATCCACATAAAGTTCACCTTCTGCAGAACCCGAGCTATTGAGGGCTATCACCTTATCATGGCAAACATACAGAGTTAAATAGTCTACTTCAGAGAATAAACCACACTAATATGTACTCCCTCTGTCCGAAAATACTTGTCATCAAATTGGATAAAAGGGGATGTATCTAGAACTAATATACATCCAGATACATCCCCTTTTATTCGTTTTGATGACAAGTATTTCCGGACGGAGGGAGTAGCTAGTAGCTACATCAACCAAACAGATTTGCATGGTCATATATTTAGCTAGTTTTGCATTTGCAGAAGTAATGCATGTGCCCAATGCTCAATTCTAGCGATGAAATCACAGCAACCCCTATCCAACAGACCAATGAGCCTAATAATTTAACAAGCATCGCAATATGATGTATAGTTGATCCTCGGAACTACATCGACTAATCTGGAAGGAGCTAGCTAAGTAAGGTCCACATGCAACATGTCTTTAGTAAAGAAAAAGGTTCACATGCAACATGTCTTTAGTAAAGAAAAAGGTTCACATGCAACTTTTCATTGGTAAAAAATATTATGAAATACCAGGTAGATATTAACACTTTTAATGACTATTTGCACATCACCAAGAGAACTATTAAATGGGATTATGAGTTACCAAATAGCAAGATGTTTACACAGGCAAACATGTTTGACATACCAGGGTGTATGGATCGTTCACCATCTGAGTAGAACTGCGCCTGAATCTATCCTTTCTTGGCACAATTGTGCCTGACCTTTGGAAGCTTGGTATGCTATCTTCTGAAACTTGCAGCTTGTGTGAGACACTTCCCTTGTATGGAGATCCATTTCTCAAGTCATACCATAACTCCGTTCCAGGAAGGTAAACCAACACTGATTTCTGGCCCTGCATGAAGTTATTATATTAAACATGTATTCCATATGTTGCGTTTTCCAGCAAAATATGAGTGATTAAGAAAATATATATATGCAGTATCACTACTCACCTCTTCGTAAATTCCTTGCGCCAAAATGCTTGGCCCAACCATAAAAGCCTCACCATTATTATATGTTTCCTTGTCGTCAGGAAATTCTAACCACAAAGGACGCATAACAGGAACACCAGTTACACTAGCCTCTTGGAAGAGAGTGTAATAGTAGGGCAACAATGAATACCGCATATGTATTGCCTCCCTCATGAGGGCAGTTCTTCGCTCTCTGTAGTAAGTACAATGAGTATGTTAGCCTTGTTAACAGCTTAAATTTTCCTCGATCATCATCATTTATAATCTACTTTTCCCAAACTAAGTTATCAGCTTAAATTTTCTAGATGACAGTGTGCAGTCACGTCATGGTGATAAATTCTCCTCGATTATCAGCCAGTTCTTTAATATACTTTTTCAGAGGGGATTACCAGCCATGTTGAGAATTTCCAAGATAAACAAAACTCTATAAAAAAATAATTATTTGTGGCATTACCCAAATAACCATGGCTCCCGTCTCTTGGTGTCATGGTGAGCATGACCTCTAAAGAAAGGATAAAAAGCTCCTACTTGGTACCAACGCACCAATAGGTCAGGTTCAGGATTGCCAAAGAATCCACCAACATCCGCACCTGTCAAAGCTTCACATTTTAGTAAGGCTTTTAACATCAGGATTATGAGGTGAAGTTGTAATGTAAGTCCACCTACCAGAGAAGGTCATGCCAGTAAGACCAAGAGTTAAAACCATCGGAATAGAAGATTTAAGGTGATCCCAATCTGCAGTGTTGTCACCGGTCCAAACTGCCCCGTACCGTTGACTTCCAGCAAAGAAGGCCCTTGACAAAACAAAGGGCCTGTCTTTACCCTCACCTCGCTTGAGAAGCCCATCTGATGTAGCCATATGGAAGTAGTACCCATATGCATTGTGCAGTTCTCGATGTTCAACATCACCGATATGTATTGCATCCCTAGGCATGGTGACCTATTCAACAAGATTGATTCATGCATAAAATGTTTCAGTTTTGCTGTAAACCTCGCCTTCACAAGATAATGCACAGAAATATTGCAATTCAGCAACATACCTCAGGGCCGTTGAAAACTGATGGCTCGTTCATGTCGTTCCAAATGTACAGTGTTGGAGTTGATCCCTTGTAGTTTTGATATGAGAACTTGTCAGCCCACCAGTCCCGTATTTCAGGATTCAACATGTCAGGATATGATGATGACCCAGGCCAGCACCACCCATCGTAGTCCTTCCCGCTTGCATCTTTAACATAGTAACCTTTGGCAGTAGCTTCCTCATGGATGTGGTACCCACTGTCCCTCTTCATATGTGGGTCTACAATAGTTACCATCTTCCTCCCCTTATCTGCTATCTTCCGCTGCATCTCCTCTGGGTTCGGGAATGTGGAACGGTCCCATGTGAAATATCGCTTGCCATCAGTGTGTTCAATGTCGAGCCAGAGCACGTCATATGGAATATCATGCTCATCAAACCCAGCATCCACTCCAGCAACATCCTCCTCGTCCCGGTAGTTCCACCGGCACTGGTGATATGCCACTGCAAACTGCTGCGGCATGGAGGGCGTACCTGTAACACTGATGTACTGCTTGATCACATCCTTCGGCTCGGAACCAACAAAGAAGAACGCATCAACCACACCAGCCTCAGCCATCCACAGCGTGTCAATTCTTCCATTCTCCGTTGATGCCGCGCCATCCCACCCTGGTGCAAGCACATCAATCTGCATCTCCGCGGCATTAAGCCAGAAGAATCCTGAAGATGCACTTGCGCCATGTGCAATCATGAAGGGAATCGACCCATACAGCCCAAAGGGCGATTCGTGGAGATACTCGAACACATCGAGGTTGAAGAGGCGGTAAGGCTCGGACTCCTCAACCCCCGGGCCGCGTGTGGGGCGGAGGGCGAGCGATGTGGAGCCGTGCTCGGGGAGGCCATACACGAAGTCGGCACCATAGAAGGAGACGTCGAAGGTGATCGACTGCGGGCCGCGGGGGCGCGTGTCGGTGTGGCTCCTGAACTGCTCCTCCCAGGTCTCGCCCTCGGGCTTTAACTCCTGCAGCGGCTCGAAGTCGAAGAGGCCCTGGGAGTTGAAGGAGAGCACGGGGTCGCCCGAGCCAGCTCGGCGGACGGTCAGCTCGAAGGGATCGTGCTTGACGACGACGTCGAGGTCGGAGGAGAGCGCGACGGTGGAGACGCCGGCGACGGTCTTGGGTTTGGAGA